TGTGATCCACTCAAAATATCTACTGTACAGATTTCAAAGTTGATAAAACACCTTCTTCATACTTATCTGCACTTAGCGTTTAATTGTTTGCTTCGAACATCAGACTTCTCAACGACACCACCAAAACACAAGTGGAGTCAGATTGTGGACGTAAATACCGTGTTCTCTTTCACTTACTTGTACATATCTTTAAATATCTCATCTCTATCGTTCTTACTTTATTACCCCAATCATTTAATATACGTACTCTGCCCTCAAACAAGTCTAAGCCATGGATTTGGCCTCTTTACTTCACCTACCCTTAGCATAAGGCAGTATACTTCTCCTGTTAAATATTGAAAACGTGTGATTCACTTTTTTTTCGTATAATGACGAAGAAGATCATGTCCACTCATCACATAATCAAAACCATTATGATTTTTTACATTTTTTCATTTTTACTTTCGTTTTTACTGTGTGTTCTGCTTTCCCAAGCCTCCTTTACATTCTACTACAAACATCTTCATCAAAACCTCCTCCTTTTCGCTTCATCACATACCAAGCTCTACCACATATCATACTAACTCTCACAGTACTCCTGAGGACCTCCATGGCAACATATACTCCTCTCGCCGCTGATCGGAACACAGTATAAACACACAACTAATACCACTCTATACTTCTCTCCTGATACTCAGAGTTTTGGCCGGTTAGAATCATATTGAAAGCTGGTTGCCTAAAATCTCGTAAGGTTCTCTCCTATTTTCGTGCAAGGATAGAACCTTATTAAGAAGAAGAAGGTTACTAGGATTGTTTTTATCTCTTAGGACTACCGATCTCGTAGCACGGTGTTTGTGTGACACTATTTGTTTTGCCACTACTTTAGGCAACAGTCCGCCGATAAATTCTTAACGTGAAATGAGTCAACTTCAGTCCAGGACTCATCCCAATGAATTCAATCTGCCAAATCGCTCAATACCATTCTATATTTTATGACGGTAACTTCAGTTCTCCTTCTTCCTATTTTCAGTTTTCAGCAAGTACTTAGGAAAATACCGGACGTCCACGTTTCTCGTGGGGAACTCCTAGGGAAGTCCCCATGCCTAAACGCCAGAATTACATACGTACATAGTTCGAGCACCGCAGTTATTCATCAAGTTACCCAACCATATATGTTGTGATTTAATTCTAAATATATAAAACGGTGCAATATCGATTTCTGATCATCGCACTACTATGCATGGCATAATGACTGATAGTCCACTAAGATGTAACGGATCTCATTATGGGACATCCCCCACCCAATCTTGTCGGAATCTCGAGGATGTTGGATTCAGAAAACACCTCTAGTACTACTAGTACTAATTATTTTTAGATGTTTACCTAGACGGGCATCAAGGCCATCCACTGCGACACTCAGTGTTAATAAATCGATGTCGTATTGACATTCTTCGTGTGGGCGTCGCTTTCGAACTCTCTGCGCATATTATATTCTACTGTCACATATACATATAATTCAATTTGCGCTTCCCTTGTATTTATTGCTCCACACTGACCGGGTAAGCCAACAATGTAAAGAGACAGAGCGCTTCTGGCATTACAACAGAGAGAGGACTTGTCGGTTAGAAGATATATCACTCCGTTCTAAATCTGTATACATTGCGTGGTCGGAATGCTGGAACTATAAATTTACGCCCCTATCCCGGTTTCCCATTTCAGACTGGATGATATTCTCTCTCAGTCAAAACGTCTCGTGTGCATTCATAAAAATATAGCGACTCATTACCTCTATTCCCTACCTATACCTATTCCCGCAGCCTTTACCACCGACACTTGTGAGTATTAAGGTATTACACCGGTCTTAGTCGTCATAGGCGTGATGGTTTTGAATGTTTAGAGACATAGCCTTTCAGTAGCATGCATTTATCTCTCTCTCATATCTGAGTATAAAACCACGGGTTAACCATGGAAGAGGATTGGAGAACCCTCCCGTCGTCGCCAACTAGTCTTTAGCGCCTTAGCACCCAGCCTGTCCCACAGATCTCGTTAGTCCCCCCATAGAATACGAGATCATCCTCCAAGTCAGCTTGATATAGGAGTCCAGCCGGATCTCAGCCGAATTTCATCACATTACGTAGTGTACTCTCGCGTGTACCGTTATAAAATTCAGAGACGAGACCTTAGACGCTCCGTAACTGACACACTTCGTCGATCCGACATCCTATTATAAGGACAATTTTAATTTATCTAAATTTCTCAACCGTATATATTCCCAAAACTGCGAGACTGCGTACCTCAGCACACAGACTCTCACACACTAGCGCGTGCTCGAGAAACAACTCTGAGAGGTTCAGCTCCGTTGGAAAGACGCAGCGCGTGTACATAGGCATTCTGGACCCGAAACTCAGCCCTTGCACAATTTCAGGCTAAACAATTCTGTCCGGCCGCTGAATCGGTGACGATGCGTCCTTCAAGAGTCTGAGCACTAGTAAGTTTCACTCAACTTGGCCTCGGCCTAGGTAACCAAACGTCGTTATACCACCACGTTATATATTAGAGCAGAATCCTTTCAGCCCTCGGTAGCCTCGCGCTGTCTGCTTTGAGCGTAGGCACCCCTTTTGAACACTCTTTTCCTACCTACTTCTCTTCACATCTCTGTCTATTTAGCTCTCCTTGCCCTATCCCAAGAAGCACAGGACAGGCAACATCCCACACATTTCCTTCGAGGAGCTCCTCCTCTAAATTATGCTTGGCTGTCGTTTGTAAGCATAATATCTATCTATTGCGTCGTTTATCACTCCTTAACGCGGCTCTCAGAAAGCACCGGAATATATATATCGACTAATACCAGGCTCAATATATCGGAATACAATCCTTCAACTGTGGGAATCCTAAATGCAGGTTGGTTGTCACATCCAAGTTCATCCAAGCGGTCGGCCCCCAGGTGAACAAGATTGCAGAGATGGGCCCGCCCATCCACCAGGTGATCGGTCTCCTCAAAAACAACATTAGCACAGGTCGCCAAACACCCCCACAAATTCAATACTGTAGGGGTCGTCTGAGGTAACTAGCTATTTACTATTGTCTTTTCATCGCGAGAGTTACAGCAAATTCATATCAAACAATATATTGGTTCCAACAGAAATCATCACCATGAGCCTTTACATAGAGCTAAAAACTCAGGTAGGATTTCATTTTGAAAATAACTGAAGAGGTCTGGGTTTTCCAAAAACACCCATGACTGTTGCTATAAATTTTTACCATTATATTATATTAATATGATAGCATAATTTACTTTTCCATTAAAGAAAATTCTAATTATCTTAAGTCATAAAATTTGCGCAGCTCCTACAAGGAATCTCCAAGGACCAAGCTCAACTAATTAGCCATACAGATGACTTTTACTCGTTAGCGAGACTCTCTATATAAAATACCTCAAGATACGCTTGATCTCCTCAAGCCCACAATTGCCTACTCAGAATGATCTTAGTCATCCATGTTGTTCAAGTTATCTTAACAGGAAAATCTGGCATTGTCTGATATACTAGTCATGCTTAATTTTCTCGTTCTCCACTGCATTTCTGACGCCTTAGACTCTAGTATATACGCGCGTAAATGGTGTAAAAATTGCATCATCTGTGTTCATATTGTATCTCCGCGTATCCTCTTTTCCCATTTGATCTTGTTCAGCCGCAATAGTAACCTCAATAAACACGTGAGACCTCATCTGCATGTTATACTGCGAAACCGAGATAGTACATTATGATCGGTCTTCACTCCTACAGAACACTGTAGATCTCTCGATTTCAAGGTGAGTCCCCTCACTGCACCCCTCGTATCCAATTTCATAAAACCATCTCAATTCCAAAAGCACCTGCTCGTCCTTTGCATGTATAACCTCTCACTGAGATGAACATCTATATATATTTGCTATAGTCCGAATCTTCTCCGATTTAGACTTCGACCAGAACAGTCTTAGATGCTAACGATAACATAAGAAAAGACCAACACATCCTACTGACCATCCTAAGCCACCGGTATTAGTTTGATCTCTACACACACACGCCCCCATCTACACTCATAAGACGCTATTTATGATTGCAGTGTACGAGACAAATCCACCATAAAACGCGTCTTGTATCATTAACCATACCCTGCTCCAGTCAACATCTGATACTATAAGCCCGAGTGACAAACGTGCGTTTTCTTTCGTCTTCTATGGCCCTCTTCCCGGACACATTCATCGCCTTGCTAAGTAAAATCAGAAAGAGGTCTGGTCTTTGCTTATTCCTCTTGCATTTTCAACCCTACTAGTCAAAGTTCTTCTCCCGAGTTCATCAACTAAAATTATTGAAATATTCTAAGTCTTCATCGTGCTGCTTGTGTCCTCTACCAGAGTGACTACATCCTTTATATCCCCTCCGGACCCGACTCAATCACCTCCTCCGTCATCCCTCCCTGCTCCAACTTGTGCGTATATGAGAGACAATTATATAATTTCGTTGATCTTTCTCTAACTGCAGTAAATATATAGCTGGGACACGTGTTATTATGCTCTCTCACGTCACCCTCCCCGGGCTCCAAAAATTTCCTCCTGACTGGTCCTAGTGTCGCAAAGTCCTTTTTCCCTTGTTCACGATCATCCTAAGTGTCCGCAATTATTCACATCCAGACATCGCATCTGTAGACAAGCGGCTCCTAATACTCATACTTCTACATGCTTTAGTAGAACTCTTAGCTAAAGTCATAAGTGGTGTGACTCGGCTAATCTCCCGGGATCAAAAAGGACTACTTACACAGTAGCGATGCAATTTCGACAACCGTGATTAGCTTATACTGCGTAAGAGGGCTCGAAAATTCAACCATTCTACTCTATGACCACAGAAAAGCAAACTACATCCCCATGATTACACTTTCCTGTTTCAAATAGTCTTATCTATTTGAATAACTTGTAGTATCGTTCGACAACCCGTTCGCAAGTCATAATCAAATATCGGTACGTGAACCCAGAACAAAAGAACTATAAACAATATGCTTAAATGTGAGAATGGCATTGATCGAATACTAAAAACGTCACTGATATGAACAAAACTTTAAATAGAGGAATCATTTTGTGGTTCCCTAGCATCAGCTTGTCTTCTTCTTGCTTTAGAGTCATCAAGATAGTTCTGATAAACATAAGAGGCGAAACCCCAAAGAGCCAGAAGCATAGCAATTACCTTGACACCGTTCATCTTGTCATGGAGGATTATCACAGCGGCTATAGGAGTAACAGCCAAAGAGAGAGTACTAATTACATTGGAGAAGAGAGAAGACACCACGAAAATTAAGCCTACAACACCAACAGAACAAACTTGCCAAGCCACAGCTGTCCAAACTAAGGTCATCACGTAAGAAACTCGTCCCTTGCCATAGTTTACCATTTCCCCATGTAAACTCCTCCATTCTCCACTCGCAAAAAGACCTACAGTTGCAGCAAAACTAGCAACCAGGGCTGTATAGATTTGCATCTCCAAAACCACAGAAAACGTTTCCCTTTTTAAAACCTTTTGGAAAGAAAGCTGCATGAGGGAAAGCAGAAGAGAGTACAATGCAGAAGCTCCAATGGTACAGATGAGGCCAAGGATTCTTCCCCTTGATACTCCTGTTGGTTCCTCACCACGAGTCGTACCTAATTAACCACGCAATTAACGACAGCCGTCTGAGGAGATGACACGATCACATCAATCTGAATTTAAGACTCAGGCATTTCTGTGAACTTCTGAGACGTATTGCAGTAGATAAGAACGATGGATAACCAACAGCATAAAAAGCTAATTTGATTTGCGGATTTCGAGCGCAAGTAAGAGAGCTCTCTGAGTAGGGACAATGAGTCTCCGACGCAGTTTAATGCAATGTTTGTCACAACAGACTAGTACGCACTCCAAGTAGGAGAAGTAAACCCATAAGGCACAGAAACCTCCTTTAATGGGAAGTTAGTGGTTGTCAACACACGTGTCATGATCTGACCTCATGATCCTTTGGGATGAATGGCAAGAAAATAAAGCGGGGATGAAGATAGGACTGGTGGACGCTCCAGGGCTGCGCCAGTTTGGACCCCAGTCTGTTTAGGCATGACGCGGGCACGGCGGCCAAGCGTCTTACTAATTATAACCTGGAGTGCTTAATAGAATCTATCCAGAAGTAACGACCAGCTCAGCAATGAGTGTACTCGCAGAACATAAGAGTACAGAAGACGTTCTGTAGCTGCACCCATCCTCGGCAAACCCACCATTTGTCCCATAACGACCCTATAATCTTTTAACAGAATGAGTGTTTGTTCCCAATCACAGTTTCCTCGTCCCTCATTGCAGCCGGTATAGAGACATTCCGAATGGTCCTTGTCTATCCTCTGTATTATAGAATTAGACACGCACATTCTCTACACCCCGACAGCTAGTTTATTACATTTAGAGACGTGTATCAGAATTCACCCAGGACACAGCAAGTAAACTTCTCTTCTCCAATACAGGGGCAGAAATTCCAATGGAAACATGTATCTGAGAATCAGGGAAAACACCCGGTCAATGTAGAGGCATCTCATGCAGCTGACTTTTATACAGCCTTCCCCATAAGCATGGTGTCTGTGGTAAGCAGACCGCGGGCAGTTACCGGTAAATCCCACATGCCGAGGCGGCCTCAGATTTCGCATTACCAAATTGTGAAGGTGTTTCGCTGAGTAGAGTCAGGTACACCACTAACACTCTCATTATCAGTCACACCGCATTTGTCGTTCTTTACAATCTCACCAAAAAGCTATATATGCAAGCTATCGTTTCAACCCACGAGCGTTTGGCAAAACAGAATCGAACAATAGCTGATCATAACATGGGAAACACGGTGCTCCTTTTCAAATGACGGGCTGATCTAAGACTTCCAGAGACATCCATGCAACTTAAAAAGCCGCGTTCTTCGACGTCATCCCACTTCTTTCCATCTCATCATAATGCCTCGGCCGCGCTTTTGTTTACAATGAACGGATACAATGGATACTTAAGCATTGCATCGCACGCAAGCTCCCAAAGCTCACTAAAATATTATCATTTTAATAAGCCTCTGCACTGAGAGGCGTGGTCAAATTCAATACTGCAGGGCGAGAAGGTGCTTACCAAACAGTAACAAAATTAAACTATTGAAACAGGATCCTAGACTTTCATATGCATTATATTTTCAATCAATGTAGGTTTAACATTTAAGCCCGGCGGTTGCATCCATGTTGAGACAATACATCGCTTTAACAATAACCATGCGCTAAAAACCATACCAGCATCCAAATAATAAAAAAAATAATATTATAACCATGCTCCCAAACATCACCTCAATCTCAAGTTCACACAGAAGCGACAAGACACCATATGACCTTCATTTTAACAATCTCGAAATTAGAAAAGATACCATATAAATTCATCGTGCTCAACCGAAAAAACAAAAAAACGAAAAGATACCCCGCACATCCCGAAAAATCCCCAAATTCGAAATGTCTTTCCATGTGCGTCTAGATATAGTTCTTAACTGCGAGTGTGACATAGGAGAAAACCAAGCCTATTTCAGACAAAGTGCGCCGCCCCAGTAAATTCGAAGTTCTATGCCCCTCCTTATTACATGTGGTCTATCTGTTCGTTACCATACCATTCGACCATGTCTTCGGTACCCAGGCAGGACCATACACCGTGAGAGCTGGCCTACCCAGGAGCGTTTCGATGTATTTCATGCCAATGAAACCCGTAGATCGCAGTCAAATATTTAACTCAAGTGAAACAGAGGAAACACCCCCATACTTCTGATATCTTCATCAAACCCAAGAAACTCCAACGAACCGTGACTGTAGATGATTGTCCGAGAGAGACCCCGTGGCGCCCCCGTGCCTGACGATGACCTTTTAGGTTGAGGCGTTGGCTGTTGGGTATTAAGGCTTGGATCCGACTACTGGTGAACTGACTCAGACTTTGACTTCTGATAGACCATATTCAATGCCTGGATGATCAAAATCTCTGCACGTTAAGCCACTGACCCGTGATGACAGTAGGTATGCCAGTGACGTGATGTTCGCTGAGAGCAATCGCCCCAGGCTGGCAGGCCCTCAGTTGTCTCTATACCTATAGTTAGACATCCTTACAACGATTGACAACAAGGTCGCAATCCTGTATAAGGGCGTATTTCTTATCTTTTCCTCATCACCACAAAACATTCCAACGAAAATTCTTCTTGTTACTTTAGCCGAATGCCAGCGACTTTTGGTGTCCACCATTAACCAGAGCCTAACTATAGGTGCCCAGACAACAGGTAACAAAAATAAATTTGCCCATCTTGAGATCACATGTAACATAGGTCTCTACCTTAGGTCATTAAGACTGCCAATGCAGTATACAATTGAAGCTACTGGACCGACGAGGAGTCATTTGGCATGCAGAACTTGAGGCTAAGACAGAGACAACGGGTTTTTCGGACCAACCAATCGGGTTCATTTTGGCCCAGTGCGGCTCCAACCATGGACGCTAATTACCTATTCTCTTTACCGAAGATTATGGAAAACGATATAGTATAGATTGGGCAAACAGCGATTCTTACACACCGATGCGTGCTTACTATAGATTTGGGATAAAAAAGAAAGCGATATCTGATTAGCACCCTCAGACCCACGGTCCCAAGAGACATCTCTTTGGAGTCATTTGTTAGAAAGGAAAAGGTAACGTCAGTCGAAGGTTAGCAGTATATCCAAAGCCTCATAAAGGCGACTGTATGTATGAAAGGAGCAGTACTGCCGTCAAGGAACTCATGTGATAAGGACAAACGAAAAGAGCTTTCCCCATAAACATGTAAGGATTACCAATCAACCTCATCCTCTAAGTCCTACGCGTTTTGGTTGGTCGCTACCGCGGTAATGGATGAGTTAACACGACATAATTCGCACGAATGTACTATTCCCTTGGGTGTAGTGCTTGTTCTTCGCCAGACACGACCCAGACCATACTAGTGTTGAATAGATCGGAAACTCAGGAAGGCGGTAGAATGCAAAGCTTAAGCTTTGAGAGACAGTGCTTGGAATACTAAAGGTCTTCGCCTAAGCCGATCAAAGACACAGTAATATTGGAGTTTGCAAAGTTCAGTGCAATCCATTGGGCCAAAACGATGTTAGGGTGTGAGGTCGTGGAGATCAAAAAATAACCACAGGGGCGCGACGTACGTTTTTTAACCTAGGATCTATCTTGCAAAAAGAACGGAGACATTAGATGGACGATCCTCAACCATAGATATACAAGCTGGATATATGGAATGAGCTAGTTGGTGAAGCAGTGCATCTTCTTCCCGGCGTTGTTCGATCGCAAGTGACCGCCGCTATGACATGACAGCCTCAAGGGAAAACTTTAAGTAGGGACGCACATAAATGGCGGGCGCCGGAATGCTGTACGTTCTGGCACAGATAATGTTAGACAGGGGCATAACCGCAGCAACACAGTACACCCCAAATATGGGCGTTGAGCCGGAAGATGAGCATGCCTTCGTTGGCATGTGTGTTGGGCACACGACTAGAACAGAGGATCAGATTTATGGAATGAGGATATACCGGGGGGTAAAGTCCATAGAGTAGCTGAAATTAAGGAAAGATGAGATAAAATCGTATGACCCGAGGTGTATTAGGACATGTGCCACAAGGTAAGCGCGCCGCCTACTGACTTCTCTCCGATTAGAAGTATAGCGACCTATGGGACAAGAGGTTCCCAGGGCCGAAGGGGTAGAGGAAGACTAGGAACACTTTGGAGAGACTCCTAAGAACAAGACATTAGAAAGTACTTGATCTAACGAGGACATGACCACAGGATCGTAGCACAATGAGGTTTCAAGATTCAATATAGCAGATCCCACTCAGTGAACTTGGATTTCCAGAGTCTCCAACGAGACAGTTTTTCCTTCATTCGGGAAATTAAGAGAACACTACCCCGAACCTACATGCTTCCACTCAGAAGAGCTTCAAGCATACAAAGGCTTTTTAACAAAAAGAAAATTCAAAGAAGCTTAGCGTAAGAAGGCTTGGTGTATTTAAACACAATACGTTGAAATGATAGGAAAGCTTAGATATCTGATATCCCCGATAAGCCTACAAATATGTACATATACATGAGTCAAATAAGCACCACAAGAGGAAGGCCTTTCACAAAGGTTGCTTAGGGTGACGATAGTCTCCGACTAGACAGATCGTCTAGAAGCCCCGAGAACAGAGAAGGCACCGGAGGGGATTTCATTTGGATGCCTCCGCTAGTACTGGACAGAACCCTTGAAAGAGGACCGGCAAAATCACGAGGTTGATCATTGGAGCTTTCATTACGCTCCGGTACAAGCCCCAGAGACAGAAGGCCAATTAAATGCCTTTTGGAACAAACCCATCAATCCTCTGATTATCAAGTAAACCTGGGACCATCAGTTCCTTCATTCTGGTAAGTTCCTCTCATGTTTAGCATAGTCATGTGCACCGGACTGCTAAACTGTATTCTCTCGCTGACCCTCTAATCTCCTGTTTGAGCTCTCACTTCAGCGCCAATGATTCACTTGGCGGGTTCGAGCAAATTAGCGTTGGGCCATTAACACAAACTGCACACTGTAACATGAACCAGCGATCCTTAAGTTACTATCGACGTAAAGTAGTTGTATCTTTGGAGTAGAAGGTTCCTGGCCACACCGCAGCGGTCGCATATCATTCTTCATCACGGAATCCTCCACGTGTCAAAGAGGATCCATCAGGTGAGCACAGCTCAAGGCCATTGGGCCGCCTATGTTGTCTGGAGAAGCGGGGCCTGCCTCTCAACAAGGTTTCAAGTCAAAACGGACTCGGTCGAGGGTGCCAGATACATTTTCAAAGGTTGGTAACCTGTTGGAAGAGAGAAGAGAGAAGGGCGGACAAATCAAGATCTTAGAAAAGGTCAAGAATGAAGCATATTCTACTGGGAGATCAGTGTTGCTTTGGAACTTTTAATGCCAGCCCCTTATAAAATCTGTCACATCGACGAGCTTCAGATAAGTCGAAGAGGCGCGCGGTGCTCAGAAATCGATAGAGGCGCCTCTCAGGAAAGTCGAAAGAGGCGCTTGATTCTCAAAGCTGGGTTGCTTAGAGATCACGAGGGTTGATCTCAGATAATCGAAGAGGCGTTTGCTTTCCCAAAAGTTGGGGCTTCAAGACCACGAAGCTGATACTTCAAAAAATCGAGAAGAGGCGCGGTCGCTTTTCTCAAAGAAGTGGGCTCCCCAGAACCACGGAGGGACCTATATTCAAATCGAAAGAGGCATGCCTACTTTTCCAGCCTTTTCGCCTCTGTCGAGCACCTGTCACAAACGCACACTCAAGTTTTGCGGCAAATTTATGGCCATCTCTGGTCAAATTTCTGGGGAAAGGCTAGAAAACACCATGATCTTACGTGTTCAATCACCCACCTTCCCACACGCAATCCATCTAAGCTACAGTGCGTACCACAGATACTTTGCCAAAGTTCTCTGCCAAGTTGAGCACGTAGCTTGCAGTCCCCACCTACATCGCTCTGGACCAAGAAGGGTTAAAGAATAGCAAAGAAACCAGCACTAACAAAGTTAGACCATAAATTTTGAAGGTCTAGGCTACACATATTATACCCACAAGGGGTAAAGGAACCGAGTACCACTGCC